ATACACAGGTATATTATAGGGTTTTTGAGTAAAGAGCGAGAGAAGGCTTTGTTGAGCGACAAACTCCCGGGCACTTTCCTTCTGCGCTTCAGTGAATCCTGTCGAGACGGAGCAATCACCATCACATGGGTGGAGTATTCACAGGACGGTGTGTGCTGGTTTGAATTGGAGTATTTGATCATTTATTTATTTATATATCTGTCTTGCAGTCTTTTAATATACATGAATGAATGTCATCAAATACAGGTGAACCTAAGACACATTCAGTGAAGCCCTACACTAAATCAGATCTGGCGTCGATTTCCTTGCCTAACGTCATCCGTGACTACACCCTCACTGCTGCACAGAAGATTCCGGTGAACCCCCTCGTCTACCTTTACCCAGACATCCCAAAAGAAGACGCCTTTGGTCGCTACTATATCAGCTCTTCTGATGGTAGATATTCTTTATTTAACCATTCATTCATTCATTCATTCAAAAGAAAGAAGGCAAGATAAGAGTGTAAAACTGAAACAACAGATGTCAATAGCCTGCTACATAAGATTACCATGCAGATCTTAAGGGTACAACATCACAAAATAAATACACTGTATGTATTTTAATATATTATAGGACATTTTTCTTCTAAATGTATATATACATACAGTATATGGTGATGTCATTGCATTAAATAACAACATGTTGAACCAAGTGCCATTTCTTTTTTTCTCTTTTCCAAGCAAAATGGTTGTCAAACCTAACAAATTTCTATTTTGTCATGGTAGAAAACAATACTACTGTTCACAAAGACTATTTGGGGACTTTGCTGTTGTAAAATGTTAGTGGAACATCCTCAAAAACTTTTTTAACAGTATGTTAGAGAGCATGTCTGTGTGTGTTGTCAATATCGTCATGCCTTACATTACTGATCTTTTGTCCCTCAGATACAGAACAGATGGAGATAGACAAACCTAAGTCATATATCAGGCCATATATAGGCAGGCGCATCATTTCTGTGTCAGATGAGTAAGTTATTACTTTTCTTTTTTTTCTACTTCATATTTTTCTATTTACTGAAAAACAATATTCATGTCTTATTTATCTGTTTTTAGACCTTTTTCAAGACCCTGTAAGTGTTAGAGCACCTCAAGGCAGAACTGATATGAGGAACGTTTCTCCACCAATGCATCTAAGTGTAATGCAGAGCTTTTTTTATGGAGGAAAATTAATCTGTTTCTAGAAGTATTGAATCTGGCACACAGATATCTATAATGAATAATGGAAACAAATGGTGATGCCCTTTTCTATATATAAGGATCTACTACATTTATTCTCTACTTGTGTGAAGAAGAGGAGCCATTTTCTTCTGTGAAATTATAGAATACATTTAAAACAGTGTAATCCTGTTCTTTTTGTTTGTATGTTTGTTTGTATAAAAATGTGAACATATTGTAAAGAAACTTGCATGTTGCATGGATTTGAATTTTCTGTGTACCAGTCACTCAGATAAAGATACTGTCGACATGGATATATATATGTTTCTGTGAAGACATTTGTTTGTGATAAGGACATTCTTCTCCATCACTTATTTATTTTTTGCACATTAAAATATCTTTAAATACAATTGTCTTATGAACATGTACACACACAACAACAAGATACAGTCTAACAGAAATAAACATCAACCTACCTTCAGTCAGAAATACTGCTACAGATCCAAGCCAGGTCAATTAGGCAATGTTACATACTGTCATGTGAAGTAAAAATAAAGACTAAAATAAAACAGCAGTTTCACGTTTTCATCCATTTTTTTCTCCAGATGGAAATCTTTATGAAGCTTAAAGGGATAGTTCACCCAAAAATGAAAATGTGATGTTTATCTGCTTACCCCCAGGGCATCCAAGATGTAGGTGACTTTGTTTCTTTAGTAGAACACAAACGAAGATTTTTAACTCAAACCGTTGCAGTCTGTCAGTCTTATAATGGAAGTGAATGGGATTCACGGCTTTGAGAGTCAAAAAAAAACATACACAAACAAAACCAATTTAAAACCTGCAGCTCGGGACGATACACTGATGTGTAAAGACACGAAACGATCAGTCTGTGCAAGAAACTGAACAGTATTTATATAGTTTTTTACCTCTGGTGCACTGCAATGTCTGAACTGTCCTGAGCGCGTCCTCGACAGCCGGTGTGAGGTGTCTTCTTCTTGCTTTACGGCGGATCGCAGACTTATAAGTGCATTACCGCCACCTATCTCTCAAATGGACCATTAACAGTCCTAATTGAGATTGTAGATACTGTCTGTCTGTCTATCTATCTGTCTGACTGTCTGTCTGGCTGTGTGTCTGTCTGTCTGACTATCTGTTTGTCTGTCTATCTATCTGTCTGACTGTCTGTCTGTCTGACTGACTGTCTGTCTACCTGTCTGTCTGGCTGGGTGTATGAGTGTCTGTCTGTCTGGCTGTGTCTGTCTGTGTGACTGTGTCTGTCTGTCTGTGGCTGTATGACTGTCTATCTATCTGTCTGTCTGTCTGTCTGTCTGACTATCTGTCTGTCTATCTGTAAGACTCTCTGTCTGGCTGGCTGTATGACTGTCTGTCTGTCTGTCTGTCTGTATGACTGTCTGTCTGTCTGTCTGAATGACTGTCTGTCTGTCTGTCTGGCTGTATGACTGGCTGTCTGTCTGGCTGTATGACTGTCTGTCTGTCTGGCTGGCTGGCTGGCTGTATGACTGTCTGTCTGTCTGTCTGGCTGGCTTTATGACTGTCTGTCTGTATGACTGTCTGTCTGTCTGGCTGTCTGTCTATCTATCTATCTGTCTTATCAAATGTTTCTGAATAGTTTATATTCTTTAATAAAAATCTCTGACAAATCGAAAACAAAATTTGGATGCAGAAATCCTGATTCATATGTTTTGAATGTTATTGCAAAGCAGTGCTTATATGACCTGTGTGTTTGTGTATTTATGGATATTTTTCTCATTTAGAGGTTTTTCTGAGATGGATACAGTGAAAGGGTATGTAACACATTACATTAACCCAAAGAGCACAGATAAATGCTAATTACAATTACTGAATTAGCTCATAATTACAAATACATACATGGAGCAATACATTTAGATTCAGCTTTTTATGCATGTCAGAGGTCCTCACTGATGCAATGAATTGTTGTGTAATGTCCTAGATGTAGAAATTTCCTTCTCTTAGGTATTGTTAACAAAGTTATGACCTTGGATGAATCTAGTGGATGTCTAGCTGCTGATTTCCGTCATATGGTATGATGATAAACACTGAGATATTACAATATATAATAAATAAATGATCATTTATAATTACTGACTTAATTTTTCTTGATTTCCCATTCTAATTAAGACAGACTGCAAGGGAGAAGAGACCTAGCAACAGAAGTAAAGAGGTAGAACAAAATAATAAATAAAAGTCACTTCAAGTGAACTACTGATTATTGCTATTTAAGTAGCTTTCTTTTTCTTTCAATTTTCACTCAATATGTATGAGGAGCTGCACTTAATCAGCTTTGACACGCAGCTCATTCTGCCTGAACTATGCATTGATTTATCGGTAAAGATTCTGCTAAAAGTGGACTTTTGAAATACAGTGTTTATTTGAGACAATGGTACAACATTCAATTCTTGTAACTGCGACATTGTATAACATGTTCAAACACACTGGCCGACAAAGTTCTTAGTGTGTTTGTTTGTGCTCTCTATTACCTCTTGAAATGGGAATGAGTAGCTGCTCATAGTTAAATTAATAGCACATTTCTTTTTTAAAACTTTTAAGGTCGAGAAGCCCAAGGTGACCCGGAAGGACATTTTATAAAGTGAGTTTATACAAATGATTGAAACAAAGACAGGAAAGTTGCTTTCGCTTTCCTGAACATCCTCGCTTTTGTTTGTTCCTCTGCTGTCACCACATGATTTACTGCTAAAACAAAACTTAGTGAGAACATGATACTGCAAAGAGCAGACATGAAATACTTTTATATAGGTGTGATTCTTTGTGGTGTGAAATAACATGATAAATGCAGTATTTTTTTATTATCACACTATATTGTGTAGAATAACTTTTGCGTTTTCATAGGCATCTGCCGAGTCTGGTGATTCATTCTGGCAGTGGATATATGAACATTTTGACCTTACTGAAAAATATGTGCCCAACATTTGGAATGATGGGTAAAAAATCTGAAGGGGTTTAACCTTCACCATCTAAATGGTGCTATTGTGTCATTCATGTGAAAGCCAATGCCATTTTTCAAATCACTGACGTCAAAACCGGCTCAAGAGATGGCAGATTTTTAAAGAGTTCGAGATTTGAGAGGGGGCTTAAATTTCAGACTTCAAGCAAAGCTTTTGTATGGCCTCAGAAGACTTGGACTAAAGTGCATGAGTCACATGGACTACATATACCGTATGTTCACTGTGTACAGGTACATTATGGGTTTTTTGAGTAAGGAGAGAGAGAAAACTCCCGGGCACTTTCCTTCTGCGCTTCAGTGAAAACTCTCAATGGGAAGGAATCATCATGACATGGGTGGAATGTTCAAAGGATGGTTTGTGCTGGTTTGAACTGGAATATTTTGTTGTGATAACTATCTTGGTGTGTCTGAAAAATGTCTTATGATATTATCATGTCAGCACAGGTAGTGAACCTGCGAACCTTTTGCTCGCTACTATACCAGTGCATCTGATGGTAAAGATGGTAAAAGCATTATTGACCATTGATCTCACAGTTGAACTGACTTGCACAATAAAGAAAATAAGATAAGAGTTAGTTTTACTAAGCCATAAGGAAACAAAGCACAAAAAAAATCACCAAATAATAAAGTGGAAAATGCTATATCATATGCATCTGTTCTGAGACTTATATATTTGTGCTTTTGTCCTGGTATTTGCACACCATCAGGACATTTGGAATACAGTCAAATTCTGTTCTCTTTTAGCTGTAGGAGGGATAAATGAAGACAGACTTTCTGGTTTGAAAGTCCAAGACGGTACAACAGCATGCCAATGAAGACCACGGGCTGGACACGATTGAACATGATCTGTCAGACTCATCAGATCTAGAGGATTTAGGTTTTGAACTGGTAGAGAATGAGGGTAGAAATGCAAATGTGTTCGATTCCCAGATAACTGATCAAATGTATACCTTGAATGCATTGTAAGTTGTTTTGGATAAAATGCATAAATGTAAGAAAATATTCTTGTTGCATCACTGGTAGTGTTGCTCATGGTTAGTATTATATTTTGGTGAGTAGCTCATCCTGCACTGTTTCACCTTGAACATGATTTGTGCTGATAGTTGAGGTTTTAATGGTATTACTTTTGAGTTATATATTTGAATTCCAGTTAACTGGGACATTTTTTTCCAGTCAGAATTTCAGTGTTTTGTGTGGGTTTGTCCACGTATAATGTATAAGTAAAATTACACCCTTTTAATTACTAACACAATTTTATTCATTATTGCACATCAACCATTGCTTTAACTGCACATGTACACACACCGGCTTGAGTGAGCCAGATACAGTCTAATAGAAATCTGCAAGAAATATTTGCGTCAAAGAATACTGAATAGTGCTGAAGTGTCTTTAAAACAGTTTCCATTCATTTACTTTGACATGAACTTAAGTTATGTCCAACTGACTTTCTTCAAGTGTTTGGTCCCAGTGTGACATCAGTTTTCACTGCTAAAACAACTGTCTTACAATAAACTACATTTATAGTAATTTAACACTTCATAAAATATACGTAAATGCACAGATGGTTTGCACAAATGCAGTGTCTTTTATTTGATTTTTGATCGCTTTTGTTCTCAGATTACAACATTGTGTGCTTTCTCAAAATGCAGTCATTTTGGGGGCTCTGCATGTAAATATTTAAACTATGAGTGCATTGACGAATATATATAGACCATCTATCTGGTAATAAGGTGAAGACTAAAATAAAAAATACTAAAAAATAACGATGTATTTGGCAGTGGTTAAAATGTTCAAATAATGAAGTACAATAAAATAAAAGTGATACACATGTACAAAATGCATGCAAGCCTTTAAATAATTTTCGAATTTTACACACGACTCGTTCTCGCATTCCTTATCTTAATGATAATTGTCTTTTGTGGCAACACTCGACCGATTGTTTGGTAATGGAAATGCAATAGTCTCGCGTCACGATTTTCATTACGTTCTGCTAAGCTACTTTTTTTCCCCCAACATAAAGAAAGAAGATATGTTGGCCAGCAGCTTTTAAATGTTGTGAGCAAATTCTCAGTTTTTAATGCTCCTGAATTCCTAAACAGGATTGTTTGGTGTCATTCTTTATGCTTGAGTTTAGGCGTTTGCCCTCGGGACAGCAATGTCATCGCTGTAGTCATCATTCCCCACACCTCAATCAACTTTACACAGGCACGAAAGGGTTGAACATACAATTATAGCGTCTACTGAGAGTCGTTTCGCACCATTAAATATGGCCATCATCATGACTTACGCCCTTTCTTGCAAGGAAGAAGCTGTCAACAAGCCAAAAACTTCTCACAAAAGCATGTAAAACTACAGGAGACAACGTGAAACAAAAAAAAATGTACTGATTTTGTTCCCCCCCAAAAAAACACTGATATTGAGCTGGAGCAGTCTTCACTGGGCTGCTCCAGAAGAGTGTCCTCTAGTGCTAGTGGAAATGGTTACGTCTCCAGCATCCCGTCCAGGTTTTTCTCTGTACTCTCTTTGTCTGCGTCAGTGTTCACCGGTGGGTTGTATTTATTGTTGTACTCCTGTAGAAGCGCGAGCACCTCATGATGACCGAAGTGTGTCGCCTCATCTATAGGCATGTTGCCCCACCTAAAGGACACAAATGTTATTTTATTTTCATGGTTTCCACATCTTTTCTAGTTGTTTTATTACTGTATAACTATTAGATGATGATATTATTAATTATTATTATTATTTAGTGCTGTCGAACGATTAATCACATATAAAATAAGGTTTTGTTTGCATAATATGTGTGTTCTGTGTATATTTATTATTATACACATACAGTATATATTTTGAAAATATTTACATGTATATATTTATATTCACAATTTATATTATAAATAAATATATTTAATATATAAACGTAACATATTTTTCTGAAATATATACATGCATGTGTGTGTATTTATATATACATAATAAATATGCATAGCACACATACATATATTATGTAAACAAAAACTTTTATTTTGGATGCGATTAATCATTTGACAGCACTATTATTATTATTATTAACATTAAGACAGAAGTATGTTTTTATTGCAATAATATTATAAAATGAATGTTTAAAAATAATTAATTTACAATAGTAATTAAAAACTTTTTTTTACATTTCTACAATATTAGAGATTTAAATCTCCAATTGTATAATTTATTATTATGAGAAGTGTACAATGTATTTATATTTAATATATAGAAACTTTATAAAATTATTTTGTAAATCAATCTCTCTCTCTCCCCTGATTTATTATAATAATATGAATCCTTCACATATCCAATATATTAGACTTTTTAAATATATATATTATAATAAAAATAACACATTATATATGCACACAATCAAAATGTATTTTAATGTATTTATTAATGTAACTGTAATTGAAATTGAATATGAAAATGCATTTTAATTAATTTTAGACATATTGCACTCACAAAGAGAAAGTTCGACCTAATTCTTGTTAGAAATCAATTTCCATGGCTTGTACGTGACTTTTTAGGATTTTATCAACATCCAATTAAAATAAAAATTCCTGAAAAGTTTTCCAAGACCATCATGGGAATCCTGATGTCTTCCAATCGCCTATTTCAAAATTAAAAAGCCTAAGAAAATGAATATTTTGCTCTAAAATCAAAAGTATTTTGATTGTGTTTGCTCACCTGTCCTTGGGACCAGGATTCACCTTGCAGGCCTCTAACAGAAAACGCACAACCTCAATATGTCCTAAAATCAAAAGGAATAGTTTCATTTATGCAACACACTACAGACTGAACTTTAGATGTAAAAATGCAGCATACTGAAAAAAGGCATGAAATAAAGATCTAGTTCATTCCCCAGAAAAACAGCATTTGAGGACCAACATTTATAGTGATTAAACTAGAATGAAAAGGCTTAAATAAGCAAAAAATATACACATTGTAAGGTTGGGCAGCATTGCTAATCACCATTATGTAAAACATTACCACTTTTGACCACCAAGTGACGCCGTTACCAAATTTATATGGCACAGTGACAAGGCCATGCACATTCTGAGTCAAAATGCAGCCTCACTTTCTGTTTGTCATCTTTTTTGCTATCTTACAGTTCATTGACTGCCAGCCGGAAAACAATCAGATACCAAACTTAACAGACACCACTGGTCCTTGGCTTCTAAATAGTGACAGCATGTGCAGTGTTGTACCCTCAGCGGCTGCTACATGCAGCGCCGTCCTGGAGTCATAGTCCCGCTGCTCCATGTCCATGGAGGACAGTGCAAACCTGCGTATGATGAAAATATTACAGAAACAGACGAAAAAATGCTCCAGAGACTTGTAGGCAATGAAGAACTCGGTACCTTCTGAGAGCAGAAACATCTCCTGTGTAGGCAGCAAAGAGGAGGTTGATGACAGATTTCACCTGGAATGATAGAAAAGAGCCTTTGTGGAATAGGAACAAGTTATTATGGATAGATGCTGGGCAGAAACGGAGGCCTCCAGAGTGCCTCCTTTAGCTCTAACAGACTGAAATTAATAGAGAGCTGGTGAGAGGAAACAGCAAATAACCTAGACAATGAAAAATTGAATCAAGTGCATTGAAATATGAACACTTGAATTCAACAGTTCTTTCAGGTGGATTGAGCAAAAGGCAAAGGGATCCCCTGTTTCATACTGTATAATACTGAAGAAGGTTGCACTTTAAGTCCGATTTTTGAAGAGTTCATTTGCAAAAATCGATAACTCCATTTTTATTTTTTGCGCATTCCAAGTTTCTGTTTTGATTAAGTAATAATAACTTAAACAAATACAGGTCATTTACTAAATTAAAGTTCATTGAAAGTATGTTTTTTTTTTTTTTACATATTAAAAGTTTGGAAGTTAGGACGTTTATAGCAAAAGCAGATAACTCCCAACAGTAATTTTTTGGCAAAAGCAGACAACTCCACATTTCATGTTTTAGAGTAAAAAAAAAACACTTGTTTAATCTTTGTAATTTCCTCAGATGATAATGTAGATGCCTGACAAACGTTGTTGTTGTTGTGATCATAAACTGTATGGATGTGATTACACGCAATACACAGAGCTTTTCCCTCACCTCTGTCTGTAACGCGCTGCTTTTGCAAGGTTCCGTGAAAATGTTTCGGCTTTTATTTTCCTTTTTCGCCCTGAAGAAGATATCACAGGTTCATCAAGTTCGTCGAAATTATCCATCCTCGATCACTTTTCTACGGAAGTTCTAAGCGGTCATGCATAATTTTTTTTTTAACGAGTCATTATAACGAGAAAACAACTCTCGTTATGTCGATATAACGAGAAAATTAAGTCGTTATAACGAGAAAACAACTCTCGTTATGTCGATATAACGAGAAAATTAAGTCGTTATAACGAGAAAACAACTCTCGTTATGTCGATATAACGAGAAAATAAGTCGTTATAACGAGAAAACAAGGAAAAAAATAATAATGCTTGGCCGCTTAGAACTTCCGTACTTTTCATCAGCTTTGATGAAACTCCTCTCAGCTAGCACGTCTTTTCAAAGTGAAAGTAGCCTTGTCACCTGACCTGAATACAGCGCGCTGATTCGCTAAAATGGACTTATCGGCTTCTGTACTAAAACAACAAGGATGCTTGTCGGCTTCTGCAGTAAAACGTGAACTCGCGATGCCTTGAAAGTGGACAAAACCGGCTTTTTTGACAAAACGTGTTTAGGGTTCAGATCGCGCTATATGTGGAGAATAATGCACGGCAATCAGCGTGGCGTTTATAGGTTTTTGCAAATTAACTTAATATATGCTGCACATGTTAAACACATGTATGTGTTTTTGTTAAACACATATCACAACTTGAAATCAAACATTTAATGGCAGAATCCATGCAACACCTTGTATTAAAGACCCTTGCCTCAATCAAAACGAAATAATTTTATTTGATTTAGTAGCAGCAGGATACATCTGATTTGAATTAGGATCTGATTATATAAATTAGCCAAGCAAGCCATGCAAAAAATGCAAGTGCTGGTGAGGGACAGAAAGGCACCACTAGGGGACATCAGCAACCCTTCATGATAGTCAGCAAAACCCGCAAACTTCAAGACAACAAATACAGACAACTTACAAAAAAGTGCCCATCTTGTTGCAAAGCCATTCTCTGTAAATTCTATTAGTGCCATTCTAAGTAAAGTTTTGTGCAAAAAAGTGATCACAAACCAACCAAAACCATCAATTTGAATAACAATCAGATGGTCAAATACAAATATGATTGGTTTTACAACACATAAACACTTGGTATTTAACATTAGATGAAGAATGGACATATAGATTACATTAAAAACATGTAATTCAGATTTAATACTTTTATTCTTGCTTTCCAGTGGTAGAAGTTGTCAGTGTTTTGGGGCCTAAAGATCATCCGAGAAATGTCAGAGTCTCCTTGCATGTGTGTTTAATTATAATCTAATTACATCCAAGTCAGTTTAATGTCTTAAATGGAAACACAAAACACTACTGTCTGCTAATGTGTAATTATTCTCCAGAAATTTGCATGTTAATTTCAGATTAAGTCAACTCGAAAACCTAGACAAACTTGCTTGATTTTAAAACTGTTTGAAGGTTGTTCACATCTTATATAGCTTTGAAGGTTTTCTAGGCTGTTGCACGCTAGCATGTAAGAAAGACAGCAAGATAGATGAGATGTCATCTGTGTGTCAAGTTACACTGTGCTATGAGCATGTGACCCACACACAGACAACCACTGTTGTTTGAATGGACATGTAATGAGACATCAGACATTTGGACCGAAACGGTATTACAGCAACACAACTAGAGATGAATTCAATTAATTTAGCTGTGTTTCTAACAAATGATGGATCACAAGGAAAAGCTAATAACAATAATAGAATAATGACTGAAAGAGTTTGGTCCAAGATGTGGTTTTGTTAACTTTAAAGCCATGAGGTGCCCTGTACTGTTTCATTTCTCATCCTGGATCAACAGGATCAATGCAAGGCTTGATTACTTCATGCCAATGAGAACAGGAACTGTGATTTGCACAGACAGACTAAACACTTAGCTTACCATGAAGTGCAACAGAAGGCAAGGCAGCAGAGCTGCAATGGATGGCAGATCCAGAAAAAGTTCCCACACCTTCTGCTAAACAAATTAATTTACATGACTTTTCCAATCATGCACCAAATTCTGGATGAAGATTTCAAAAATGCTCACAAAAAGCAACTTCTAGGTGAAAAATGTTTTGTATAAATACAATAAAAAAATCTTCTATAAATAATATATGATAATTTTATATATAAATGATACTTCATACTAAGTGTATCATAAAATGTAAAAAAATGTATCCATTTCTATGACTTCTCAAGCCGGGAAAAAAAATTATTCCCTGCAACTTTCATGTTTTCCTTGAACACAAATCCTTTTATTTAATGGCATCAACAGTATGTGAGGGGCGTAACATTTCCGTCTCATGCTTGAGGTATTCGGCCAATCACAACGCACTGGATAGCTGGCCAATCACAGCACACCTCGCTTTTTCAGACCGATGAGCTTTGTAAAAATTGACGCGTTTCAGAAAGGCGGGGCATAGAGGAGAAACAATAATGTACAGTATGTGGAAAATAATGTGTTTTTTTTTTACTTTAAACCACATAAACACATTTCATTACACCAAATACACAAAATAATGTTCTTTTTAGCAACGTCATATGACCCCTTTAACTGGCTGCTGAGCAGTACTAGTGCGGCTCTATGATGCTAACACTGCACATTACAACAGTCCTCTCAGGACACGCAGTCACCAAGACAAGCAATTCAGCAGGAATGCATCCGGACTAATCTAAAAATGAATAACCCATTTGCAACATGAGGTCCCTTTTAACCTTACACTTGGTCGCAATGAAATCACACTGTGTCCTAAGGGAGCAGTAGCAAGGGAGTAGTTCAGCCAAAATGGAAAATACTACTTCACTTTTATGTTGAATGTCATATGCAGAGCACAAATGGGGTATGGGTTACCATAGTTGGCTGCATGCCACACATCACTTATACAAATGGTCCAGTTTTTTTTTAAAGTCATATAATAGCTTTATGCTAGGAACAGACTGAATTGTAGATGTAATTCAATGATAATGCATTCGAACTCAGATTCCAAATTTGCACCAAATGCCATTTTCAGTAACTTTAAGCTGCAGTCCTTAAGTTTTTTGTGTTCAAAATGTACAAAATGTATATAATAATCGAGTACACCATGAATCCATTTTCCAAACCGTGTTTTTGGCTTGTCCTGAATCACTATGGTAAATCTATAATAAGTGTTTATATGCGGATTATTTTAGACTGGTTCGGGAAGGTACCGCTGCGGAGTAGCCCAGTAATTCTTCATAGACATAAACAGAGAGAAGTAGCTCCGGCAACAATGTTCTTCCGCAAGACACACGCAGTTCTGTTTATTAACCGCTAGAGCTCCAAAAGTTATGGACTGCAGCTTTCAATTTTCATCTTTTACCTTATAAAAGTAAGTATATGGCTTCAGAAGACTTTAATTATAATCAGATGGACAACTTTTATGGTCATTTCATAGAGATTGTTTTATGGAATATGCAAAAAGGTTGAATGAAAATGATTGTGTTCCACAGAAACAACAACATCATCATATGGGGTCAGAACGAGTAAATAATGACCAAGTTTTCATTTTTGGGTGTACTATTGCTTTCATTGTCTGGTAAACTATGTAACAGTTTTTAGTTAGGAACAGACAGAAATCACTATTATTCAATGATAAATAATAGTGACTGATAATTATTCAAAGGAAATGAATACAAACACACATTTGTATTTTCTCCAACAAAAAGCTAGTATATGGCTTTAAGACTTTAAAATATAGTCAGATGGACAATTGTTATGGTTATTTATTTTATATTTTATATGGAATATGGTAAACAAACTTTTGCATGAAAATTGTTTAAAAAATATTTTTGTGTTCCACAGAAACACCAGCAACATACAGGGCTAAAACAACATGAGGGTGAATAAATCATGACAGAATTTTCATTTTTTTCTTTTCAAATGAAGGTCACACTTACCGGCCTAAGTCACCTGTAACAAATAGTTTCAGAGGACGCCCATATGCTCATGACACCTCACTGAAGACTCTGCGTGTGGTGAGATGCGGTTCATTATGCATGACCACAACATTCAATCGTAGTGCAACACAGAACCACCTGTAGTCTCTATTCAGCAGCCAATCCTCAACATCCACCGAAAAAACACCTGCCGGTCTATGACTATAAATCCCACCACACCTAACGTCCATGCAGTCCAAGTGAAGAATAAAGCCCTCCGCTATGCTTTTAAGCATTAGCACAGATAGATAAACACAAGCCAAGTCATAAGGCTTTAGACATATCCTCTACAATAGTCATTCATATTCACCGAGACTGGTGAAGAACTAACATGTGCGCAGAATGAGATTCATTGAAAATAAATAACTGTTAAAGTACATAAATATATACTGTCAAAGAGCTCGCCGAGGTGAGTCAGATCCGTTTTAGTTGCCTTCTCCGACATTCTCCATCCTATAGACTACAGTAGTGGAGCTGTCCTCATTGCACTCAGTGGGCGAGACTTGTGTCCACACAGTGTCTTTGAGAGCCAGCTCTTTCTGAAGGCTCTCGTAATCCAGGGATCCCAAGGTGTACTGCTGTGTTGAGCAACACGGAGAACATTAGTTTTTTTGGGACCTCCAGGGAAAGTGTGTGACTCACACTGTTCAATATGGTGACGTGTGAACAGATTTCAAAGTCAACAAAAACAAACACAGTCACAAAGAGAGGCCTCGTATTCACACAGCTGGGAAAATGTCATGTTTTTCAACATTTTAAAACAAAAAAACCCATAAGAGATCTGTCTTATCACAGAAATTGCACATGCCTCATTTAAGCTGCAGTAGTCTGATTAAAGGCATGCTGATTATTAACAGATGACCAGGCCCACACAGAATCTGTGCATGCAGGTTAATAATAATAATGAAAAAATTATATTTTTGATTGAATAATATAATGAATATAAATAACAGCATATAAATTATATTTATTTGCAATAATTAATATTTACTATTATTACTGAGCCAATTGATAATGTTACCCCTTGAAAAAAAGAAGGATATTTTGGATTTGTAAAAAGCCTTTTAATTTCTTTTTCCACTTATTTTCACTTGCAACTTATACTTTTCAACAGGAAAACTGTCTCAGTTGCCCAATCTCAATCTTCTCATGCCCAAGGTTTTTATATATATATATTTTAAATCAGGTTTTAAGGTTTAAATATTAAAATCGGTTTATTTTTTCAGATATACATAAGAGTATTTTCAGCAAAGTTGAACTCATTTTACCATGTTTAAATCCATTCCACAGATTTTTGGAAATACGGAAAAGTATACAGATACCATCTGGGCCTGTTTATTATAAATCTACGTATGCAGACTGAAGAAATCAAAGCAGAGAAAATCTCTTCCAGATAAACTGCATAAAGCATGTAGTGAATGTAATGAAGCTGTCCTCATTGTGCTCAGTAGGCCAGACTTTTGTCCACACAGTGTCTTTGAGAGCTAGCTCATTTGAAAGGCTCTCGTTATCCTGGGGTCCGAAGGTGTACTGCTGTGTTGAGCAACACAGAGAACAGATTAGTTTTGGGGGTCTCTAAAGAAAGTATCACAAAGAGAGCCCTCCTATTCAAAAAAAAAAGAAAGAAAAAATATGGCTTATAAAAACTGCACATGCATCATATAATAACAATAATAATAATATAAAATATTTTTGATTATATTGTAATATACAATAATGAATAAGATAATAGGGATGCACGATATTGGATTTTTGCTGATATAATGCGATATTTACATTTAAAGCCATTTTCGGCCGATTCCGATATTGGTCCGATAATATCGTGCATCCCTATAAGATAATAATATAAAAATACAGATGATATAAAACTACTTAGCTATTAATATATATTTAATAAATTATATTACTTTGCAACAACAACTTTGCTTATTAATAATTGTATTATTATTATTATTATTATTCTCAGTTAAAAAAAACCTCATTGTGTTTACACAAGTCACATAAATTGATTCAAAAAGCATCACCACGGACCCCATAATATATCACTGTAGTTTTCTTGTGCCAATGATACTATTTTATAACAAATCTGAAAGGGGGGGGGCTGTATTCAGATTTAAATATTTAAGCTAATCTTTTTATTTTTCCAGCTTTAGATAAGAGTATGCACTTTTTTTTTTACCATGTTTACATCCACTGCACAGATTATTCGTAATGTGGGAAAAGTTTACAGATTCCATCTGGGCCTTCTGATTACAAATATGAAAATGCAGACTGAAGCAAGCAAAACAAAAACTTGGGATAAAACAGCGTAAAACATGGCAAATCAAGATATGGCAATCGACATGCATAATTAGAATTTCATGCACAGCGAGAACTTTGATGAATCAACCGCTGCTCTTTACTCGCTGTTTTAACATCAAAAATCAGCTACACTCTTTGGGACGTGAAGCAGCTACCCATCTATGCATGTAGTGTAAAAATCCTCCAGCAGGGGGCGTGATTGTATACGGCTGACTGCAGGCGTTTAGTGGAAATAAGCTTCCTCTGCTGTATTTTCTCAGCTTCAGAGTCTTGAATAAATTATTACGTGCAGTCATTCATACAAGACGTGGTTAACGCATTGATGGGGCACGTGGGAAGGGCAAATGGAAGAGGGCACTCACCCGCTGCTCCCCTCCCTCTCTGCGAGGATCGTGCTTCTTGGCGAAGTGCCTCAGGTTGTCGTAGTTGTGGAAGTTGAACAAGGACACCAGATCCTACAGCAGGAGAGACAGCCACAGGAGTCAGTCTGAGAGGTCAAATGCTCAAAGCGCACACACACACACACTGAAGGACTGTATTGAGTGTCTGAAGGTGGTCTGCTAGTGACAGGAGAGTGTGTAGGGCATAGAGAAGTCGCCTGCTTTCATTAAAGCCCTTTGTACCATGATAATGCTGAAATGAACCTCCTTCACAATGTCATTCAACTTCTCAGGTTCCTGTTTTCAGGTTCAGTGAGGTTTAGTCCATGTGATCAGTTTTAATAGTCTTTGAAGGTGAAATTTCTAGGTTTAAAAGTGTGTTGTTGTTTAGGAAATTATGTGGTTATATCTTAAACCACAGAATAGTACAAGGTCCACTTACATACAGGGTTTCTGCAGACTTGAACAAGTTAAATTTAAGACCTTTTTAAGACCTTTTTAATACCACCTTTTATTAAATTCAAGACCTAAACCTGTAATGGAAATACACATTTTATTACATACATATAGGTAATATTTAATGTGTATAAATTAAAAAGAAAACAAAATATCAATGCTGTAATAAATGGTATTTATTACTATGATATACAGTGAACTTTTCATGTCAGCAGACATTATTCCATACAAAATATCTCCACAAAATAACTGCATCACTGAGATTTTTGGTGGAGTAAACAATTTATTCTGAAGCAATATTTTTGCTTCAGAATATTTTTTTAAATATTTCATCAGTATTCTATCAGCTTTTACATACTTAAATCTGCATATTTACCTTTACAAAGGCCTATCTTTAACCTTTTTAGATGTATGCATCATCTTACATGTCAAATTATTACAATTTATCAATAAATTAAATATACACTATAGGGCTGCTACCAGTCAGATTAAATAATTTACACTGCAAATAACAATAATT